GTAGTTATTCCTTGCCTGGAAGTAGTGAGCGAGAAGCATGAGCAACTGCTTTTTCTGATCCGTCCTTGTAACGGTGTGAAATGACTGCGCCCAAGCCATAATTTGAAGCATCGCTGCCACGATGATTTCCTGACTTGGGTCGTAATGGGCGAGAAGAAGATCTGATGAGAGTATCGCCTTAGCTCGATTGAAGCTGTCGTCGCAAGCTTTGGTCCAGTTGAATTTGGCATTCTTTGCCAAGAGAGAGTCTAGCGGAGCACGAAGGCTTCTCATTTCTCTGACGAAACTGCCATAGTAGCTCAGAAGTCCGAGGAACGATCGGAGTTGGGTGATGTCTCTTGGAACTGGCATTTTTGTGATGGCGTCTATTTTCTTCGGATCGGGGCGTCGGCCCTGTTTATCGATGATGTATCCGAGGTAGTTGATACGAGTGGTTGGGCATTTTTCCAAGCGCACGTGAAACCCACTTTCTGCGAGTCTCTTGGAAACGGCGTGGAGATTCTTCTGGTGCTCCTCCTGTGTGCGTCCCATGACGATAACATCATCCAAGTAGGCTACGACTCCTTGCAGACCTGCCAGTGTTGCATCCATGATCTGTTGGAAAATCGCTGGAGCCGATTTGACGCCGAAAGGTAGCCTATTGTATTGATAAAGTCCTCGATGAGTATTTATCGTCAGCAGTTGTTTCGACTCCTGGTCCATCTCGATTTGAAGATAGGCGTCTGCAAAATCGATGTGGGAGAAGTATTGTTCTCCAGTGAGTGTCGCAAAGGTGTCCTTCGGGGGGGGGTGCGGTAGTTTATATTGGTGAAGGTCCAGGGCAGCGTTCAGGGAGTTGAGTCGTCGAGCGTCTGGGCGTCTGCTGTGAAGATATCCTCGTGCCTGTGGAACCATGCTTCGAACGTGAGGTCCGCTTCCGGGTCGTAGGAGAACTGCGCGATTCGTCCTGCCAGCACGTCGAAGGTCCTGTTGCTTCTGCCGTTGGTGACGTTGGCTGCTGCGGCTGTTGTTGAGCGAGTCCCTTGACGGCGTCCGTGAGTGCCATGAGAAGTTGCTGGAACTGCTTGTCCGTCATCGTCGCCATTGGAATCCTGATCGCCACTGTTGTGTCGCGGAAGGTAGATGGCAGTAGAATAGGCAGAGAATATTTATTAGGAATAACACAGATAACTAACTGAGAACGGGTTTATATACTCACTTGGGATTATTAATTAGGCGCGAAAACTACCTAATACGGTAGGTAACGATTAAACGTAATGGTCATGGTGGGTCAGTAGATCATTCCTATATCTAAGATACGAGGAGCAGCTTGCAACCAGAGTTTCACATTCTATACGCAGGGTAATATCTGCCCTTACAAGGGAGGTCGTTCAGGCCGTGGTGAGCTTTTTCAAAACGATTTGTTGCATGTTGTAGGGGTCCATACAAGGACCACACAGATGGGTTTCATTTTTGCTAAACGCTATTGGGAATGTCAAAAAAGGAATAAAAACAAATCGCTTAAAATACGCAAGTTTTATCATCTCATTCGCATCTGTTTCAGCTGTAAGGCAGAATACATAGTTTATAAAGTGTTTCTCAACTAGACATGAAAAAGAACATTGAATAAGGTCGAAATACAAGTGCCTTACTTGGCATACAGTGAGGTACACTGCAATTTCTTTTTCATGTATAGTTGAGAAACACTTTATAAACTATATATTCTACTTTACAGCTGAAGCAGATGCGAATGGGATGATAAAACTTGCGTATTTTAAGCAATTTGTTTTTATTCCTGTTTTGACATTCCCAATAGCGTTTAGCAAAAATGGAACCCATCAGTCTGTTTCTTGTATGGACCCCTACAACATGCAACAAATCGATTTCAAAAAGCTTACCACCGCCTGAACGACCTCCCTTGTAAGGGCAGATATTACCCT